AACGCAAGTACTCCCACTACTGTCTGCCCCCGCGCGCACCGGCCGCCGCCCCCGGCCCAGCCCCCGGCCCTGCAGCTCCGGGCCCCGCCGTGCCGCGCGCCCGCAGCACCCTGGACAGCGCCACGTCCGCCAAGTGCCGCCAGCTGAAGGACTACCAGCGAGGCCTGGTGCTCTCCACCGTCTTCAACTCGCTCGAGTGCCTGCTGGGCCTGCTCAGCCTCCTGCTGGTCAAGAACTACAAGTCTTCGCAGGCCCGGCGTGGCCGGCGCGGCCGACGGAGGGCAAGCCGGGCTTTGGCACGGCCGCGGGGCGGCCCTGGGCTTCGCACTCAGCCGCTAGCCTCCCGGGCCCGGCGCGGCCGGAGGGGCAAGAGGGGGCGGCGGCTGCAGCCACGGCCCAGCGAGGCCTCCATCCTGTCCCCAGAGGAGTCCGACTTTGCGGCCCCAGGGGACTGCGCAGGCTTCGCGGCGCACCACGCGGTGTCCTACATCAACGTGGGCGTCTTCCACGCGTTTGATGAGGCGGGGGTGGAGGTGTGCTGCGGCGGACATCCATCCGTGGAGCTGCCAGGGTACTCGCCCTCGGACCCCGATCTCAACGCCTCCTACCCCTATTGCTGCCGGCCGCCCTGCGAGGCATCGAGCCCCTGGGGCCCTAACCCGGCCTGCTGAGACCAGACCTGACCCACGTGGGACACCCGAAAAGGCCCCAGTCCCGCTTTGCTGGGGCTGCGCCTGCGCGGGGCTCCGCACTCTCTGGGGCGGCCCTGTGAGGGCTGAGAGACCTTAGGACGCTCTGGTATTTTCCTTTCTGTGTGAGGAGGTGTCTCCTCTCTGTGTCATTCGTATCCGGACTCCATTTAAAGTTTACAATAAATGTTTGGGGTGGGATCGCCAATCACACTTCTCTTAGGCAAGTCTGTACCCTGGGACCCTGGGACTGCCTTCAGAGGTCCTGGGTCAAAGGGGCAAGAACAGAACACCTAGTGAAAGTGATTTTGAGTGGAGGACCTCGGCTGAGAGAACAGACAAAGCAGTTGGAGCTGTAGGAACAGAAGTGAAAAACCACCAACAGAAACACTTTGTACCCGGATGTGCCTGCTTCTGTCGACACTTTCTTACTGTAAAGCTCTCCATAAACAGTGAAAAATGTTTGGTAAATTTATTGCAATTTGACATTGGTGAGTTCCTTTATTAAACTGGTTGCTAAGTTATTGGAGAATGTTCATCAGCTTGGAATTAGGATGTCTATACTCAAATCAACATGGGGGGTGGTGGCTGAATTGGGTTGGACAAATGCTTTGTTAGAACAGTTGTGTTCTGCTAGTTGGTCAGCTAGGTCCAACCTGTCTCTGAGCTGAATGCTGTGTTTGCAGACACTGATGCCAGACCCCTGCATTTCTATTTTTGGAAACTGGCTGTGTGGTTTCTACTGCAAAGCAGTAGGTTTTATTTTTGGTTAATTCATATGAACAGTCTAATCCTATTTTGGAAAATCACAGTCCTAGCTTTTCTGTAAGGGTAGTTTTCCTGTTAACTGACTAATCTAGTATTTTTGAGTATATAGCATTTCGTTTAATATATACCACTTAAATAGCCTTAATGAATGTGAAGGATATACTTTTAAGTGACTAGGATATGCACGTGACCATTTATACACAATATGAAATTAGTTCCACGACTGGTGTGTCTACATCCTTTTGGTGGGCTGGCTGGGAGCCAGGCAGGCTTGAAGTCTTGGAAAAAGATGATCTGATCTCAGTGTGCCTGGAATAGTGGTACCAGGTAGGTACCACTGGCAGACCAGCTGGGAGCAGTGCTCTGGCCCAAAAGATATGCCTCTTGCCTATGCTAGAGGGGAGCGGTTTCTCTGTTACATGAACACCAGTACCAAGCACTTCAGGCCAGAGGAGACATGGAAATCCTGGGTAGAGTCTTCAGTGTATGGAAGGCTAGTTCTGACTGTGATAAAGCCACCAGGGAATGGCTAAGGCACAGTTCCCAGTTGCAGACCACATGATAGGGCCTTTCCTCAGCTCCCAGATGTCCTGCCCAGAGCTCCCCTGCACCCCTAGTGATTGTGGCCTTCTGGTCCCAGCTGGGACTTGGCTGGGCTGCCCTCTATGTCAAGGCCACTAGAGAAGGAGGAGTCCCACCGTATTTCCATGAAGAATGGTGAGGCCTGCCACCAGCCATGTGTTGGTCTGTGGCGGTAAGAACTAGGCCTACTGATGCTTAGCCAATTTCTTTGAAGTTTGAGGATCTGATCAAGGAGTCAACAGGTTCAGTCCTGATGACTATACTGAACCCACCAGAGGAAAAGCAATTACTCATGGCTAGTTTACTTGGTTCTCACCTATATCAGGCCTTTGTTCTCTTGGGGCAAGTTCAGAAAGGGGGTTTAGCCTGACTCACTGGTCCCACTGTTGGGTCATTCAGCCCAATCCTCCTGATCCAGGTTAGCAGTCTGTTGACCATCAACCTAAGCAGAAATATTACAAATCACAGCAGAAAGAGACTCAAGATACTTTTTCCTATTTGTCAAAATCCAAGTATATCACATTGCCAGGTGTTCCCAACTGAGAACAGAGCCCTCATAGGTGGTTATAGGCCAGTCTCCAGCTTGGTGGGGGGGGGGGTGAGCACAGGATGGCTCCTTGCAGAGGCAGCCTATGTGGAATGAACCTCTGGGTGGCATAAATGTACCAAGTCAATCCTCCTTGGACCTTTGTGTTTTCTGAGGCATTTAGTCTTATGAATTTCGCACAACTCAAAATCTTAGATGCTGCATGAGTTTTTCAAAATCTCTATCAAAGTCAGTGGCCTCTCTAAAGCTTCAGACATTTCTTGGAACAGAAATTTTGCAGAGAGGACTGGGGTGGGGAAAACCAGTGGCCAGGGCAGGCAAATTATGCATATTGTCTGGCCAGAGCAGCAGGGGTAACCTGCATTGTTCCAGGCAGGGACCATGGGCAAATTAGCCTCTTCCTCAAGCCCAACAAACTAGGTGAAGTGTTTCAAGATTTGATGTTCCTAACTCCCAAGTCCACAAATATTGTTAGCTTCACTTTTACAGAGGCAGATATGAGATGTAGAGTAGCAAGGTTTCATTTTTAAAGGTTAATAGAGGAAATAAAATCCCACTATTGCTAAAGTCAGATTCTTATAAAGATCAGTTCTCAGGGAACCTGGCATAGAGCTGCCAACCATCCCTCCTGAATAGACAGTTTCCTGGTACCACCCTACTCTGCACTCCAATTCAGCAGCTTTCATTCATATTTCTCTACGTTCCTGAAGCTTTAAGGCAGTTGTTCAAAGCTGATATTTTGTGTTACCTGGAAAACAAGGCAGGTCTTGGCCTTTCTTCAAGTGGGTCTTATTCTATTTCCTGCCAGGAGTTTATTAGAATTCCAAAATTAGACAAACATATCTTAGCATTTTTACGAGATAAATGCTGAGTTTGTAAAGCATTATTTCTTCAGCAAGAGAAACTGTCCTTAGATCTGAGGACTCAGTTTTAAGGAAATGATACAATGGCACTGTGCATGGACTTGGGCAGACAAACTGTCAAACAAGCCAAGTTTTACTGTAGAATCATTGGATACAGATACCTGGATTTTCATGCATTGCCTTAGAAGGATGCTCTGCCCCAGGTGACATGAAACAAAACCACACAATTAATCATTTAACAACCATTTAATCAGTCAAATGGTTGGTTGTGAATTTCAAAGTGTTGGTGACTGACACTTTACTGACTAGTGTCCTGAAGTAGTGAAAGAGGAAACGTTGATGGACACATGGCCATATGTGTGCACATACACACCAGTACACACATGCTACACAACAGAAAATGTGCACTTTTGCATGCAAGAACATGTACAGATGTATGCATACTCATTAATGAGTATACATACACATGTGCATACCTGCATGTACATGCATAATGTGGTTTCTTGTGGTGTTTGAAGGCCAGGCCAAGCAGCAAGTCTGGGGCATCTGAAACACAAATACAAATGGTTTAGGGCTTTGTGGCCTGGCTGTAGGTCTCTGGCATTGCACCTACTGCTGCAGTTTTATGTCATGGATGAATACACAGGAGCCCCTAAGTTCACCTGTGGGTACTGAGCTACTTACCACATCTAGGTGGGAACAGGCAGGCAGCAAAACCCATCACCAGTATCAGTGCAGCTTAGTGGGTCCATTGTTGGGTGTGCTGGGATCTGGGCAAGGGGCAGGCTGTTAGGCTGCATCCCCAGGTTCCATGCAGGTTTGTGTTGCTCAGACCCTGCAAAATGCAATTCTAGTGCTGACCTCCTTGTGAAGATGGGATCATCCCACAATGTCCCCCAGTTCTCATTTTAGAGGAAAGTAATACCTGGCAGAGACATTAAGAAAAGTGAGTTCTGATGTATAAGTAAACACTAGTGGCATATATACTTGTGTTCTACCTTCTTATCTAAGAGTACTGCTGCAGTCTGAAGTCAACATGTTTAATTTCTAGTGGCCCAATGCCCTAGCTTAATTTTCTGCCTAACCCACAGAAAAAAATCACCCTAAAATGGAGAAAAAATAATTTAGGAAAACAGAAAGCAATTATCCTTATATTTTCAAAACTGAATTCTCCTGAGCAGCTCCTGGGATGGCAGAAGCCTGGCGGTCCTGAGGCAGACATGTTAAACACAGCATTCTTAATTGCTGTGCTTTACACTTTATACCTGTGGGTTTCTCTAAGAGAGTTCCTGATCTTGTGATATTTCACTTTATCAGTCATTGATCCTCAAAGGAATGTCACTGTAAGATAAATAAAATCTCTTTTAAAACATTGTATACAGCCGGGCGTGGTGGCACACGTCTTTAATCCCAGCACTTGGGAGGCAGAAGCAGGCGGGTCTCTGGGGGTTCAAGGCCAGCCTGGTCTACATAGTGAGTTCCAGGCCAGTTGGTGATACAGGGAGACTCTGTCTCAAAAAGACCAAAAAACCAAACCAAACCAAACCAAAACATAGTATACACCACAGAATTTATGCTTTTCTGGCCACCTTCCAGTTTATGGCCAGCTGTGCTGAGGGGAGCCAGAGAGAGAGGCAGAAAGCTACAGGGTCTTCTGGGCCCTTCATTGGTCCCTCCTATAGTGAGCAGTACAGGCGGGTCTCCTGCTTTTCAGGACTCCTGCCTCTCCTCCCATCCTCTAGGTCTCATGCAATGCCTGTAGCACTTCTGTGGCACTTGCTAGGGCCCTACACAGGTTTGGTTTTTCCCTTTGAAGTGGTTTCTAAGTAACCTGCTGTTCTCTTTCTTTATCTCCATTCTTGACGCAACATTTTCCTGAAACATAGGTCAGGTCATGCTGTCTTGACCAGAAACATTCCAGAAGGAAAGAAACTCCTTCACTATGGTTGGCCCAGGGCTGGGGAAGAGCCAATGTGAACTTCTAATGGGGCATCCAGTGAGTTAATAGATGTGAGGAGCTACAGTGATGTTCCTAGCAAATGAAGGCCTGGAGTATATATGGGGAGTAAGGGTCTTATGGAGGAAGGGTCTACAATCAAGTGTGGACATCAGAGGTCAAAGAGGAAGCACAGCACTATGGGGCTAAGGGATGAGATTGACAAATGGATAGGGATGGGAGATTGATGCTGAGGGTGAGACTGAGCCTCAGTGGCATTTTAAGGGGTCCATTTTGTCTTTCTCTGTTAGGGACATGGATTGGGGAGGAGGGAAAACTACCTAGGTGAGAGCAAGCATGCAGGGAGGAGGAAGGAAGGGTCTTGGAAATGAAATGTTAATTGCAGCAGTGATAAGCAGCGGTGGACAAATCCATTGCTCTTGGTGCTTTATGCCATTTACACTGTAACCCTCTTGAGGCCCTGATGTTGTTGGCATCTGGTGTACAGGCAAGAAGGCAGAGAAACTGAAAGACCCCAGCATACCTCAAGGATGCAGTAATAAGACCTTTATCATGTGTCCACCTGTTACGGAAAGACCACTGTGACCAGCCTTGCTGGGGTTCCTTTCTTCATTCACCTTAGTCTAGTTCCTAGAGCCTGTGGCAAGATATCTATATCCAGTACTTTCCTTACTATGCCCTCAGATCAGAGTACCCTTTCCTACTCTTCATCTGGGAAACATGAACATCTTGCTCGTAGTACAGCCTAACAGTGCCTCCTGAGAAGTTGTCAGCCTGTAGTGGCTGCAGCAGTTACTCCCTGATAGGTAGAAATGGCTGAACCTCTAGGCTGGTACTCGGTCAGTCCTGAACCTGTTGGGCAGGCCTGGTCTCCTCTACTCTTTTTTTAAAAATTATTTTTATTTTATGTGTATGGGTGTATTGCCTGCATGTAGATGAGAGCACCCATGTCGTGCAATGCCTGTGGAGGACAGAAGAGGCCGTCGGATCCCCTGGAACTGGAGCTATGGATAGTTCTTAGCTGTCATGTGGGTGCTGGGAGATGAACCAAGGTCTTCTGCAAGAACAACCAGTGTTCTTAACCACTGAGCCGTCTCTCCAGCCCCTCTCCTCTATTCTGTATGGGCAGAAGTGGCAATGTATCTAGAGTGTTCTTAATAGGAGACAGATGGTAGAATACATATGGTAGGATCCACACAATAGGATGCAGGTGTTGGTTGGAGGAATGGGTGAGGCCAGTGGACCAATAGTGACAAAGCATGGGCTTTCTGAAACTCTCAAATGCTTACCGAACTTGGATATTTTGTTGCCTGTAGCATCCACTTGTATTATTTCATGGAGAGCACTCATGAAATACTTACCATGTGCAGTGTTGATGTGGGAACACAAGGTCAGCATAGGAGATGTATGTCTGCTCCCATTTCTGTAGAACCTGGCCAAGTACCTCCATATTCTTTCCCTCCAGCAGTAGAACAGCTCTGAGGTCTCAGGTATATACAGGAAGGAAACTGTCCCACCCTTGAGCAACAAGGCCAAACACACAGTAAGCCATGGACCTGAAAAGACATGCTAAACACTTCAAAAGAAAAAGACGGAGCATTAAAAAGTAATTGCAGAAGGGGAAAAGCTTTCTGAAAATTAATTACATTTGACTTTTTTGCAGATTTTTTTCAGACAACCACAGATAACTGAATAATTTTTCATCTCAGTAGCTTTGGTATTTATCACTCCCCTCTTCAGAGGGGCCACCCTATATGGCCTTTAAGGGGTTTCCAGTCTAGATGAGAGACTCACCAGTGGCTTTAGGCCTGGGACCTCAGAGCATCTCTGGAAAACATGGTGGTGATGCCTGAATTCCTTGGGCTTGTTGCCTGCTTTCTGCAGTACCTCCACACACTCCTGCCCCCAACCTGCTCTTCTTAGGACCTTGGGAGTGTTTCCCTCCTGCTTACCTTTATTCCCTGTCTGCCCAGCTGGAGGTCATCTTCAAATTTTCACATCCTCAATTTCCCTTTTGTGGTACCACGTCCCATGTCTGCAACCCCCAGTCTCTCTGTGGGAAAAGGAACTACCCTCGAGGAGGGTCTGCGGGGGCCTGCCCATCCAGCCCCTCCTGCTTTTTAAAGCGTAATAGGTTATTCTTTCCTAAAATGCGTGACTTAGTCTCTCCCACACTGAAGCTGCCACTGTGCAGCCACCCACTCACACTGCTGCAGGGTGGCACCAAGCTCAGTGCTCTTGCACTCCCACCCTCTCTTCCATCCCCTTTCTTTCCTCAAAGCTCATCCTTTGGTGCTTATTACATGATGAAGGGATGAAGGGGAGGATACTGCAAGAGCCAGTGGGATCTAACTGTGGGTCTTGTATCAGGTCATTAGGGCTAATTGGTCTTCAGGGTATACATGGGGGGGCAGGGCATGACTGTGAGCAGGTCTTTATCTTGAAAACAGCCACTTTACAAGGGGGAAGATGAGACTTGGAGGACGTCTGTACTCAGGTGAGAGCTGCCTGATTCCTCCAGCTGCAAGCACTGAGGAGTCAGTGGTTCTCCTGGGGCTTGGGACAAAGCAGGACTCAGCTTTGTCTCTCTATGGCATGTGTGGGAGTTTTACAGCTCAGATTGCAGGTGGACACTTGAAGACTGATATCCAGCTGCCTGCTTATTACTTGTTCAAGATCCCTCAAGACTCCAAACGCATTCTTCTCTCAACTTCCACACCTACCCTCCTGCAATGAGGGGTTCATCCAGCTCCAGAACTCTTTCCTGAGAGCTCTGCATACATCTGCCATTCCTGAAGCACACTGCTAATCAAACTCATTCACTCTTTTAAAAATTATTTATTTATTTATTTATTTATTTATTTATTTATTTATTTAATGGGTATAAGTGTATTGCCTGCATGTAAGTACACCCATGCTGTGCAATGCTGACAGAAGTCAGAAGAGGGCGTTAACTGGAGTTATGGATGGTTGTTAGCTGCCATGTGGGTACTGGGAATTGAACCCAAGTCCTCTGCAAGAGCAACCAGTGCTCTTAACTGCTGAACCATCCCTCTAGCCCCTAAACTCATTCACTCTTTACCAGCAGCCTTTGTTTTGCTGAGGCACTACCAGGTGCCTGGAATTCCCATTGGTTTCTCTCTCTGCAGTTGCTTCTCCCTAATTCAAGCCTATGTGCCACTCTTCATGAGAAACTGGCCAGAGAAATGCAGATTAAAGCGATTTCAGGTCTTTGTTTCAAAGAATCTGGTTGTGTTTTGCATCTGGAACACACCTGCCTTTCAACTCTTCCAGGTCTGAATGGCAGCAGCAGTCAGCCAGTAAGCTGACTGTGAGTCTAGAACAAAAACCTTTCCTGCATGCTTCTTGTATTGTGAATTAGGACAAAGGTGGAGAATATTATACTACATATACATATGCCATTTGAGACCTGTTTGCACTGTCATCAAAATTATAGCACAAAATTTTTAAATTAAAAATAATGGAGAAAGAAAAAATTAAACTTTAGGCTTAAATTTCTTTCTCAAACTTGTTCCATATTTCTTTTATTTTTAGACATAAACTTATAGGAATATCCAGAGCTCTTCTGTCATCCTTTACTCTGATCTTGTGGAGTATCAATCACCTTAAGTTGGTGGGTCATCCCTGAGCATGTTTTTGGGTAGTATATAACTATTGGTGTTCCAATATAATTATACTGTATTCTTTTGTATATAAATTTTTATAAGAATTAAAAAAAATTTAAAATTAATTTTATGTATATAACTTGTTATGCCTGCCTGTGTATAAGTGCACCTGTGTCATGCAGTGCCTGCGCAGGACAGAAGAGGGCATCAGATTCCCAGGAACTGGAGTCAATGGATAGTTGTAGCCACCATGTGTGGGGGTGCTGGGATTTGAACCTGGGTCTTCTGTAAGAACAGCCAGTGCTCTCAACTGCTGACCCACCTCTTCAGCTCTGTACATTAAAATTTTTATATAAACATACTGCATTTAATCTTTGTTTTTTGTACTCCACATCATGTTTCTGAGGTTGATTTGTGATGATACATATAAATGTGGCTCACTTTTCCTGACATTTTATTCCATCGTACAGATAAACCACAGCTCATTTATTTTTCCTCTACTGAGGTTTTCATATTTCCCTTTTCACTATTACATTCAGGGATGTAGTGAAAGTTCTTTCAACTCAATGCTGTGGTTTGAATATGGCTTGGGTGCATTCCATCATGTATTGGAAGGTCGGTCCCCAAAGTAGCAACATTGAGAGGCGGTGAAACTTTTAAGTTGGTTTATTGCAAAGTAATTAAGTCACTGGGATGCTGCCCTGGGAAAGGATTAACGCTGGTCTTTGAATTAGTTCCCACAAAAGTAGGCTATCACTAAAGAACAAGACTGGTCCCTTACTGTTATTTGCTTCCTGTCTTATTATGTGATCACCCTGCTATGTGCCAGGAAGACCTCACAAGGGCTGAGCAGAAGCTGGCACTATGCCCTTTAATTTCCATAACTAGTCTAAATAAACTTTTTTTTGGTAAAGTGCCTCACCTCACAATTTATGTGTGTGCCTGCATGAATTTATGTGTGCCATGTGCGTGCAGGTGCTCATGAAGGCCAGAAGAGGGCATTAGATTCCCTGGAACTGGAGTTATTGGCAGTTGTGAGATGCCTTGTGTAGGTGCTGGGAACTGAACCTAATTTCTCTGTAAGAACAGTGTGCTGGTTAGTTTTTGTTAACTTGACACAAGCTAGAGTCACCTGAGAAGAGGGAGCCTCAGTTGAGGAATTCCTTTATCTGACTGGCCTGTTGCCATGTCTGTGAAGCATTTTCATAATTGTTAATTGATAAATTGATGTGGGAGGCACAGTGGGCTGGGCTGCATAAGAAACAAGTTGAAAGAAGCTAGTAAGCAGCATTCTTCCACGGTCTCTGGTTCGTTCCTAACTTCAGATTTCCTGACTGATTTCCTGCCCTGGCTTCTCTCAATAGTGGACTATAACTGGGGAGTGTAATCAAATAAATCCTTTCCTCCTCAAGTTGTTTTTGGTCAGCGTTTATCACAGCAACAGAAACCAAACTAGGACAAAAAGTAAGTGCTCTTAATTGCTGAGTCACCTCTCTAGCCCCAGTATCTTGTTATAGCAACAAAAAATGGACTAATGCATTTGCCTTACGTCTAGTCAGTCAGAAGCCTAGGTAAAAAAGACTAGACCTAAGGATTTGTATCAGAAGCGGTGTCCCACTTTGTCTTTAGGAATGAGCCCTCAACTCATGGGAACTGATTACCTCCAAGTACATAGTGTCAAGAGTTGAATTGAATCAGAGGACACCCTGATGGTGTCTGCCACAGAAGTATTGGCTGTTTGGGTCACAGAAGCATTGTATCTTATGAGAGAAACTAAGTTTGATTTCCTTCTATATGTCAGAATGGGAACATTGCCTAACATGCTTTCTGAAGCCAGTACAACCCCAATAATAAAGCCAGATAAAGACATCATAATGAAAAAAAACTGTACACTCATATAGCTCATGAAAATAAACACAAAAATTCTTTGTCTTCATTTTTGCATGTGTATGTGTGTGTGTGGTATGTGCGCACTTTGTGTGTGTATGTGTGCATGCACATGTGGAGGCTTGAGGTTGCTACTGGGAATCTTCCTCATCATTCTTCCATTTTGTTCTTTGAGGCAGGGTCTTGCTAGCCAGCTTGGTTCAGGGATCCTATCTCCTTCTGAGGCTGGAATTACATGCAGGTTGCTATGTCTACATGGCATTTATGTGGGTTCTGGGTATCTGAACTCTGGTCTTCTGGCTTGCGTGGCAAAAGCTTTAACTGCTGAGCCATCTCCCTATCACCAATGCAAAAATTATTAACAGAATACTGGCTGACACTATGAAAGGAACACAATTCTTGGGTAACTGACGTCAAAGAAGAGGAAATTTATGAATTGCTTCAAAAGGAATTCAAAATAATCTTAAGATAATTCAGTAAGAAGAGACAAGAGAAGCAACAGACAGTCACTAAGATTTGGATGTGATAGGAGTGTCTCTCAATATTTTCTGTGCTAGAATCTTGGCCTTTGGTATAGTGAGGTTAAGGCAGTGGGACCTTTAAAAGGGGACCAGTGTATAATAATTAGGTCACTGAGGGCTTCCTTCCCTTGGAAGGGATTCATGTTGGTCTTTCAGAGTGAGTGTGATCTGCTGAGGAAGGGTTATTATAGAGTGAGCCTGCCCCTTGCCTCCCTCATGACTTACTTTCCATCTTGCCATGAGACCTCTCTCTTTTTGTTGCCCACTCAACATGATGTCATCTGCCACACTGTGATGCAGCCATAAAGTCCTCACCAAGGCTGAGAAGATGCTAGTGCCATGCTCTTGGGTCTCCAAAACTCTGACCATTTTCTGTTTAAAATAGCCAGTCTTAGGTTTTTTTCATACCAACAGGAAACACTAAGCTATCTCCTGTCTTGCTCACAGTTGAGCCTTCCTCTGGGTCTCAGTTGGGTTGAAGATCAGGACATGTATCCTTGACTCCACGAGATACTGCAGGATTGCTGCACACAGTGACATTTCCAACATAGAGACTCAGGCAGAGATCTTTCTTACCTCTTTCAGCAGTTAATGTCCCTGGTCTCAGCCATTTTGTCATTTTGTTGGCTGCTGTGAAGTGATATTTTCTTGTCTTCACTTGCATTTCCACAATTGTGTGTCTTTACTGAATATTCAGTATATTTTTGTGCTCCTTTCCTAGATTTCAAAAATTACTTGTCTGTTCACTTGATAGATTATTAGGACTGCTATGTTAGCTATTTTTCTGTTGCTATGATAAGATATCATGACCAAAGAGAACGTAGGGAAGAAAGAGTTTATTTTAACTTGTGGGCTAGAGTCCATAATGGCAGGGAAGTATGACATGGCAGCAGTAACAGGAAGCTGACTAATCACATTTCATCTGTGCACAGGAAGCAGAAGCAAGAACATAAGAGAGAAGCAAGTGGGGCAAGGCTATAAACTCTCAAAGCCAGCCCCTAGAGATGTATTTCCTCCAGCAAGCGTCCACCTTCTAAAGGTTTTATAACATTCCCAAACAGTGCTACCAACTGGAGACTAAGTGTTCAAATACATGAGCCTATGGGGGACATTTCTCATTCAAACTACCC